TTTTTTTTATTCTTCTTAAATGAAATTATTAAGTAAATGAGACATTAATGAACAAACAAATATTTAAATGTTTCAGTGTTTCAATTTGTTATGTTAGTATAGGCTATTATTTGAAAATTGCTGAGATAAAAATCTTAATGTATCATCATCATGTTCTCTTGATTTTGTTTTTGTTTTTTTTGTGGTCACTGAAGACCATGCAACTACTGCAGTTTTTATGGCAAAAATGAGAAATGTTGGGCATTTAATGAATGATTCCTAAAGGCTATATCATTGTTGTCTTTTCTCATTCAGCTTGAACTGTCATCTTTCTTCTTGAATAAGGAAGGAGGCACAGAAACAAATAACATTAATATACACACAAGATATTGATTAATAAAATATCCATAGACACTTTTCAGTATAGTTTTTGCAGTTTTAACCCTCATCCGTCCCTCGGGTCATTTTGACCCAAAACTCATTTTTAAGGATTTTTAAAAAATCGAGCGTTGATCGTTATGTAATTATTCATTACATAACTGCAATAAAACAATGCAACAAATGCTCTAAAATAAGACCAAATAGATCAGATTTAATCATTAATCAATCATTCATAAAACCAAATTAATCATTCTTGTTTAATTTAACTTATTCCTTATTCTATTATTATTTTACCCAACATCTTACAGAAGATGAAACCATGACTCACAATTTATACTTGATTAGCTTAGGTTTGGTCATGAAAGTTGAAACCAATGGTATTGTGCTAGAATGCAAAGGGAAAATTCCTCCCAAAACCACATCTCCACCCTCGTAAAAGCTGTAAGTATCCTCATCTCCCTGATAGATGCATGTATCTTTGCTTTTAGACTGACTCTGCACACCAATATACAGCAGAGGCCAAAATGTGAGAAGAGTTACATAAAGTCGTGCCATAACTGACACAGAAAAATTGACCTGCTGGGTACCACATACAGTATATATACATAAAATCTGTGAGTAAAGGGGTGGCCTTAACTTTTTACAAGGAAACAGACAAACCAATAGCATTTGCTACTCCTGCTGTCAATCGTTTTTGTACCAAGCTTCTTTGGCCCAATGGTAATGCACCTGATTCACATTCAGTCATAAGACCACCTTTAAACATTTAATTCAAAAAGATGTTTGTCATTCTAAAATGCTTTTTCTTTGCCTTTTTGATTAATTTCACCTTAGCTAAGACATACATTTTACATGACACTTTTTTCTTTTCCATACAATAAAAAAATAAAAGGGGGTGGAGTTACTGATTGATTCAATATGAAAGTATTGATTGATTCATTCACTGGGGTCGTATGTATTACCGTCACATTGTGTGATTTTTAAAGTATCAGCTTTATATGTCCCATCCACTTGCATTATATGGCCTCACAGAGATAGCTTATTGTTTTCTAAAAATCTTTGTTTGTGTTCATTTGAAGAAATAAAGTCATATACATCTGGGACAGCATATATGGGACACCTTTTTATTATATAACATTATTATTATTATTATCATCCTTATTATTGTTATTATCAAGTGTTTGGGGCCCATGGGTAAAGATGGCAATTAATTTGATATCTAGCAGGAGGACGTCATATGCAAGGAGTATGGCCAACACATAAAACAAAGGGTAACAGAAGTATATTCCTGCTTTTTGTCTTGTAAATCATAACAAGATAATGATTTACATTTTCTTATTTTCACCTCTTTAAAGCAGCTGTTTATTCAGATTGCATATATTAATCAGCCAGTGTTCGTGACTCGAAGAGACTTCACAATAAAAGACTACATAAAGAGGCTACCAGTGTCAAGGGTAAGAATTTTATTCATATTTTGTTTGCAGAAAATTATGCAATATACAGTATACCAATGCATTATATCCATTGACTGTTGTATACAATATGTATTTTTTCTAAAAGCTGTCAATTTTAAGCTGGCTGTGGAGGAGATAAACAATGGCCACTCCTGTGATGCCTCACAAATCACTCCTGGCAGCATTGAACGGGTATATAAACATGAACCATATGTTTTGGGGTTGGCCCAAATCTGGATCCTCATAATCCATTTTTGTCTCCAACCCTGGACTGTGAACAACTGCATATATGTCTTTGCTTTGCAAGGTTATCTGTTCTTCAGAGGCAAAGACTGTAGTGTTTACTTCATATTCAGTGTCATATACAATCGTATATTAGAATTGAACAGTTATAATAGATTAAAATATATATAAAACTCATTTTTAAGGATTTTTAAAAAATCGAGCGTTGATCGTTATGTATGAGACTTTGTTACATTTGTCACACTTGAACTGGGAATACATGAAAAACAATTCGAGTGAATTCGAGCAGTTTAAGTGGGTGCTATAAAAAAAAGTATCAAAAGTGTCCCTCTCGGGGGCTATTTCGACCTAGTAATTTTTGGCCTTCAGGTCATTGATGAGGGTTTTAAAGAAGATTGAGGAAAACTGTTCGACAATGTGGGATAACGAGCACACTCGCACCCTAAAGAGAGCAGCCTGGAAAATGGAGCGCAGCTGGAAGAAAACAAAACTAGAGGTATTTTGTATTCCATGGAGGGAAAGTACTTCTACATACAGAAAAGCCTTAAAAACTGCTAGATATGTTTACTTTCCATCTCTTTTATAAGAAAACAAACACAACCCCAGGTATTTATTCAATACAGTGGCTAAATTAACAAAAAATAAAGCATCATCTGGTGCAGACATTTTTCAACAGCACAGCAGTAATGGCTTTATGAACTTCTTTACTTCCAAGATCGATACTTTTAGAGATAAAATTATAACTATTCAGTCGTCAGCAACAGTATTGCATCAGATAGTGCACTATAGATTTCCTGAGGAACAATTCCACTCATTCTCTGCTACAGGACAGGAAGAATTGTATAAACTTGTTAAATCATCTAAACCAACAACATGCATGTTAGACCCTACCTGGTCTCATGACAAAAACGTACCTGGGGGCACTTTTTTGCGAGATGCGAAATAAGTACCAATAAGTACATATCACTGCAGTTTCCAAAATAAATGAACACTAGAGGCAGTAAAACTCTGATGCCTTTTATTCCTTTTCACACAAATTTACAGAGTTTCGATTAATAAAGTGTCATTTTTACACACCTACTTGAAGAATATTATGTTATGGCATCAAAACAATTTTAATATGCTGGGAGATTTGAAAACGGATGCTTTTGAATGTTAGCATCACATACAGTATAACCAGCTTCTTATCTATGGGTTTTCATAGATGGTAGGTTTGTTCGGTAGCTCACAGAGTACGGAGACATACTTGAGAGGTGAGGAGCTCCTGTTCGAATCCCGTGTAACTATGGTTTGACAAAACAGTTAAAATCTGCATATAGGGAAGTTCAAATGGCACGGTTGCATCAACAAATGTGTTTTTATATCAGTGTTGCATTTGTTAACACTATCGGGTAGGTTTAGTGTTGGGTTTGGTGTAGGGCATATTTCCAACACGATAGAGCATTAACTTTTAGCGACAGTCCCCAGATATTTGAATTCAGAGCCGCCGCAATACGTACCTGAAGCAGCATAATATAAAACACAGCAATACGTACCTATATCAACATAATAAAAAAGTGCCAGGGTTCACGTATTGAACCTGTGTTTTAGCGCCACTCAGTGGACATTTCTCTTTGAAACTGCGGCGAAACGTGCAATAAGGTAAAAACGGTGCTGCAGAAAAGTACCCTGAGGTACGTATTTTTATGAGACTGGGTTTTTTTTTTCAGTGGATAACACTTTAGTTTAGGGACCAATTCTCACTATTGACTAGTTGCTTATTAGCATGCCTATTATTAACATATCGGCTGTTTATTAGTACTTATAAAGCACATATTCATTAGGATATGTCCCAAAAACCTTCAAACTGGCTGTTATTAAGCATCTAATTAAAAAAAAACAACAACAAAAAAACACAGAGAATTAATTAATTACAGACCGATGTCAAATCTCCCTTTTCTGTCAAAGATACTAGAAAAGGTAGTCTCCTCACAACTATGTTCTTTCTAAGAGAAAAATGGTATCTGTGAGGATTTCCAGTCAGGATTTAAACCGTATCATAGTACTAAGACTGCTCTCATCATAGTTACAAATGACCTGCTCTTATCATCCAATCGTGGTTGTATTTCTCTATTAGTGTTACTGGATCTTAGCGGTGCATTCGCCACTATCGACCACAACATTCTTTTGAATAGACTAGAAAATGATGTTAGCATTATTGGAATTGCATTGGCATGGTTCAAAGCATACTTATTTGACTGTCATCAATTTGTAGAAGTGAATGAAGTAGTATCATATCGTTCACAAGTGCAGTATGGAGTACAAGGCTCAGTACTAGAACCATTCTGCTCTTATCATCCAATCGTGGTCGTATTTCTCTATTAGTGTTACTGGATCTTAGCGGTGCATTCGCCACTATCGACCACAACATTCTTTTGAATAGACTAGAAAATGATGTTAGCATTATTGGAATTGCATTGGCATGGTTCAAAGCATACTTATTTGACTGTCATCAATTTGTAGAAGTGAATGAAGTAGTATCATATCGTTCACAAGTGCAGTATGGAGTACAAGGCTCAGTACTAGAACCATTGCTTTTTATGCTTTACATGCTACCCTTGGGAAATATCATCATCAAATATCAAACATGGTGTTAGCTTTCACTGTTATGCTGATGATACTCAGCTCTATATTTCTTCGCAGCCCAACGAAACATACCAATTCGCAAAACTAACAGAATGCATAGCTGATATAAAAAATTGTATGACTTGTAATTTCCTACTGCTAAATTATATTAACAATCAATCTCTGCACACCTGACCTGACGGCAATTGATAGGTGCGTAGGAAACAGAGACCACAGAGATCAAAACTCAAGGAAAAAGAAAAAAAATCCCGCACACTGTCAATTAGTGCAAAAGTATTAAAAAGGTTTAATAACAACGTTTCGGTCGCATGAACTTCATCAGGTATCTTCAAACATGAAATTACAATTTAAACCACATTTAAAAAGAATTCATGACCAATCACTGCAAAGGACCATCGCTTAGTGATAACCCACACTGGGTACATAATTAACATCAATCACAAAAAAATAAAAAAAATAAAAAATAAATAAAAACATATTTATAACATCACATTAAACAGTGCTTCATCATTCATGCCTAAAGGAGATCAAGTCTGAAGGGTAAAAATCCAAAACAGCTCACGTCACTGTAAGAGTAATTCGATATCTCCCCCTCTAGCTGGCATATTAACCCTTTCAATCCCACAAAAGTGTAAGGTAGAAACATCATGGTTGTGGGCAAGAAAATGGGCTGCAACTGGATAATTCATATCTTTTCTCCTGATAGAGCTCTTGTGTTCACTAACTCTTTGCTTAAGTTGACGTGATGTTTTATCAACATAGCCTAAACCACAAGGACAACGAATCAAATAAACAACATGAGTGGAGACACAAGTTATCACAGAGTTGATTCTATATTTTTTACCCCGTTCTCGGATGACAGAAGAAGGAAGTTTTGGATGTATTATTGCACTGAGCGCAATTACCACACTTATAGTTGCCATTTGGTATAGGACTAAGTAATCTCTGGGAAGAACCAGGAGTATCACTTTTCAAACGAGCATGTACCAAATAATCTTTTAAATTTGTGGAACATCTGTACACAATTAACGGAGGATGCTGAAAGATAGAACTCAACTCAGGGTCAGAGTTGTAATAAAAGTAAAAGAACATTTCTTTACTTTTTTTGTTTTCTTTTTTAACAACTTAGAGCGTGTTTTTTGGAATAAATTGTAATTTGTAATTGTAATTTAAATTGTAATTTCATGTTTGAAGATACCTGATGTAGGTCATGCTACCGAAACGTTGTTATTAAACCTTTTTGATACTTTTGCACTAATTGACAGTGTGCGGGAATTGTTTTCTTTTTCCTTGAGTTTTGATCTTTGTGGTCTCTGTTTCCTACGCACCTATCAATTGCCGTCAGGTGTGCGGAGATTGATTGTTAATTGTCTTCTACTACTCGGTTGTATGTCGACTGAGTTTTTTGGGCTCTACGCACCCTGAGGCTTGCTAAATATAGAACATGACTTCATTTCAAGAAATTAATAGTATGACAGACAACTGTGCCATTACTGTCATTTTCACAAGAGGATGCGGATAAGATTCTCTTTCCTGCAAAGGACATTGATTTTAATCTATCAAAGGATGAACATCGAGTGCAACTTGAGAGACTATATAACAAAGAAACACGTCTGAAAATGCACGGCTCCACACTGAATGAATATTGGAGGAAAAAGAGAATTCCACGTGGTCTTAGAATCCCAAAAGCTCCGACATTGTGTAAACAGAATAAATTGTTTTTGAAGAAATGGAGCGAGATTCTTAACAAGTGTTCTATGGATTTGATGCTGCTAATTGTGGAACAGGTAGCTGCTGATGCTAATGAGATCCACAAAGAAATCGTTTCATTGGAAGAGAAAATTAAGTCTACATCCTACGTTGATCTTGACTCCATCCTTGCTTCCATCAAGTTATCCACAGACATATACCGAGATAATCTGAAGGAGATCAAGTTCAAAAAATACAAACGAGATACGGAGGATTACCTTCGACATGAGGTATATCCTTGGGATGTTAAACCTGTGTTTATCACCTCTAACATTGGAGGCAGCGCTAGAAAGGAGAGCAGTGTAGAAACTAGGGGATCATTTGGATCTACATCACAGTTCCGTAGTCGAACGAGAGGCACTGGCCAAAGTGATTCTATGGAGAGTGAGCTGACCATGGACAGTGACTCTAGTGTACATAACTTGACCCCTTTTTTGGACAAATTAGCTCCTTTAAGGAGACTGCAACAAAAAAGAAGAAATGTCGGAGAGGCTCAAGGGCCTCAAAGAAATCTACGACCGTGGACTCGGAGCTTCTCAAAGAGACGGTAATCAACATTTCTGAAAAATAACTCTCAACTGATCAAATTGGGCTTTTGTCAAAAGGCTTATCTTTTGTTCCGACTAGTGGTATTAATTATTTTGGTCTAAAAGTTGATCTGTTCAAATGTTTTAGACAGATAAAATTACGATATTTCTTCTCTAAATCAACCTCAGTTCCTTCGAACATGCCTTTCAGACCTAAAAGTATTGTTTGCCCAAATGTTTTTAATCATACCATTTGTCGTTTGGTTGAACAAGATGTGATGAAAAGTTGCACCTCTAGTAACAGATTTTCTTATAATCTTTCATTGAATGAGAAAATAGCTCTGACTGAATTGATCAATTACCCGAATATTATCATTAAGCCTGCGGACAAAGGAGGGGTGATTGTAGTCCAAGATAAGTCTAAATATCAGCATGAAATTTTCTCACAATTACAGAATACAAAGTTTTCCTTTTACTCCATATAAAACAAGATAGCCAGCCGTTAAGCTCCTTAATAACTTTGCTAGAAAGCAAAATAGGCAGCATCATCATAGGATACATTAAACGAGGCAAAATGTTAATTTCAATTATAGCTATTCTTCCCAACCATGATACGGGAAGAGCATTCCATCTCTGTAGATCACTATGAATTTTCTCCAAAAGAGGAGCAAAGTTGTTTTTAAATAATAGTTGGAATGAAGGGGTTATATGAAGCCCTAGATAGGTAAAACCTGACATGGAATATTTAAAAGGGAAATAGGAGAGCATTTGTGTTTCCGAGGCAAGACTTCCCAATAGTAAAGCAACAGATTTTGTAAAATGTATCTTATAACCCGAAAATTTCCCAAAGGAGTTTATGACATCTACCAGTCGTGGAACTGATGTATTTGCATCAGACAAAAAAAGTAGAATGTCATCTGCGTAGAGTGAAATCTTGTGTTGTCTGTCATTTATTGTGACCCCTCTTATCATTGAATCACATCTTATCACTTCTGCCAAGGGCTCAATGGCAAGGGAAAACAACAGTGGCGAAAGTGGGCAACCCTGTCTGGTGCCCCTACCCAGAAGAAAATGTTTTGATCTGAGGCCATTAGTGGTGACGGCAGAAGAAGGTTTATTGTAGAGCAGCTGCACCCACCTCAAAACTTGTCCCCAAACCCAAATTTCTGTAAAGTATAAAATAAATAGGGCCACTCGACACGATCAAATGCCTTTTCGGCATCTAAAGAAATAACTAAAGTGTCAAGTTTTTGTTTCTGTGAGATATTAATAACATTTAAGAGTCTCCTGACATTATGACTAGAACTCCTTCCTTTAATAAAACCAGTCTGGTCCTCACAGACTAAGATTGTCAATACTTGCTCTAATCTACGTGCAAGTACTTTGGATAACAATTTCAAATCAGAATTGAGCAGTGCTATTGGCCTGTAAGATCCACAGTCCTCTGGATCCTTCCCTTTTTTTTTTTTAAATCAATGAAATATTAGCCTCTCTAAGTGTAGCAGGTAATAATCCTATACCAAAAGAATGGTTTAACATTTCAAGAAGGGGGTCCAGTAGTACAAAATGAAATTCCTTATATAGTTCAGAACTTATGCCATCCGGACCTGGTGCTTTACCAGCCTGGAGACACTGAAGAGCTTGCATGGCCTCTTCTCTATTAATTGGGGCATCAAGAAGTTCCCTATAAGCTTGTGGAAGAGTTTTCAAAGGGTAAACCATTAAAAAATGAATACATTTGTTCTGCACTGTCAACACATTGCTCAGATTCATACAAGTCAGAATAAAATTTCCTGAACACATCATTAATTGAAGGGTTATCAAAATGCCGTTTACCAGATGTGTCCAGCACAGAGGTAATTAATTGTTGTTTTGCTCTAACCTTGGTTAACTGAGCAAGATATTTACTAGGTTTATTACCATACTCGTATAATTTCTGCTTAGAAAATAAATAATTTGTATTAGCTTTTTGTGTTAACAACAAATCCAAAGAAGTCCTTATATTGTATATTCTTTCAAGTATTGTAGAATCCGATGATACACTAAATTCCTTTTTAGCGTTATCCAGTTCAGTTTCAAGAAGTTTCTGTCTTTGTCTCCTACTAGATGAATACGAGATAGCCAGCCCTCTGATATATGCTTTGCAGGTTTCCCATACTAAAGAGGGGGTAACTGTTCCAGTAGTGTTGATTGAAAGAAATGTTTTAAATTCTGTATGAAAGAAGGAGAGAAAAGCTGCATCCTTAAGTAAGCTAGTGTTAAATCGCCACCTTTTTGTTTGTTGTAGGGTTCCCTGAATTATTATATCTAAATAAACAGCGGCATGATCTGACACTAAGATGTTACCCAACCTGCAACAAGACACTGATTGCAGAAACAACTTATTAATTAGAAAATAGTCAATTCTTGTGTGACATTTGTGTGGGGCAGAATAAAAATTAAAGTCCCTTTGTGTGGGGTTTAAAGTTTGCCAAGCATCCAAATAATCAAATTCTTCACAAATGGCTATTAGGGCCTTTGACTGTTTTGTGTGATTGGGATTTCTAATAGGCCATTTGTCCATCAAAGGGTCCATCAGACAGTTAAAATCCCCCCCAATTACAAGTGTTTCTGAGGAATATACAGAAAAATTAGAAAGAGTTGATGTGAGAAATTCGGGGGAGAAGTTAGGAGGAAAATATACATTTAGTAGTGAAATCTCTTCCCCATAAAGGACCCCATTGAGATAGACATATGTACCAAATCTGTCTTTTTCAGTCTTTAACAGATTAAAAGGGATGTTTTTTATTAATAAGTATAGCAACCCCTCTACTGCTAGTTGTGAATGATGAAAAAAAGATTTGACCAATCCAGTTATGCTTTAACTTTAAATGTGCATCATCGTCCAGATGTGTCTCTTGCAGTAGAGCAATGTCTACCCTTTCCTTAATAAGAATAGACATAACCCTCCTTAATTTCAGTGGCCCATGCAAGCCCCTAACATTCCAAGTACATATTCTTAATTTACTACCCAACATTTAAGTATAGAGCAATACAGATACGGATCTGCTTCCTCCTTTAGATACTGTATATTAGATGTAAATAACACCTGCTGCCATACACAAAAGAAAAATAGCCTGCCCGAGCTTCAACAGTAAACATTATAGCAACTATTGTACAAAAAGAAAACAAACTCAAAACATTTAAAGAGGGTATTTCCCCCATAACAAGGTGAACAATGTGCAATAACAAAGCGCTGTTCAGCGTAACAATAAGCTTTTGCTGCATCTCTAAGAGAGTATGGCTACAACAGACACTGAACAACCTGTAACCACTTTAACGCAACCTGCCTCACTCATTAACGTAGAGTACGAAACAAAACTTACAGGACAAATATATATATTTTTTTTTTCAACATAACAACATACAAAGTCTTGATGTTGTTTTGGGGGTGTACTAGAACATGCTCTCATGCTTGGTGGTTCGAAAAACACATTATTTTTCACATAATTTACATTATTAAAATACCTTTCTCCCCATCCTGGCACAAACGGCTCGATTAGTTCCGGCTTTGATGAAGGTCCGCCTTCCGAAAAACAAAATGTGTTGTGATTGGTTAGCTGTCCCAGTGCGTTGTGATTGGCGAACAGCTTAGACGGTATCTACTCACTCGTGATGTGGAAGCTGTCCTCAGTAAAATGCGCAGCACACAATAACAAATTGGGGTTATAATGCTCAGGGACGGAGTTAAAAAGTAAATTGCAACCACTGTTTCCTGACATCATCCGCTTTCAGAAGCCCAAACAAAGACGTTTGGGCACGGAGGTGAAAAAAACAGCATTTCAGGCAGTCACGCGCCGGACGAGAAGCGCAGCTTCGCGTTGCGCCACATCTTGAAATTTAAACTACATTATTTTCTATGAGTGTAGGCACACCGGCGGCGCCGTTCGGCGTCTGTCCGCGGCGCCCAGCTAC